AACAATACGAAAATCATCCATGTTCTATGTAACCATCTGTAATTGTAAAACAAAAAGACAGGGGATATAAGTTACTATAGTATAAACTAATTGAGTCCAAATCATGACATTCAAAGGAGAGTCTTTAAATAATCCTAATTTTTTAGTAACAAATTGGTGAAGCATATGTGGTTTAATTTGGCACAACCAACGAAGAGAAGTCATATAACCTCCGTTATAAATTTTATCTTTATAAATCACTTCTGTGATAATGACATAAATAACTTGCCATGAGATATAAAAGATTAATGGATAAACAAATCCAGTAAGAAAAGTAAGGTGGTCTGGAATTGGGAATGAACTTTTCCATCGAAGGTAGTAAAGAACTAAATTAGGGAAGAAATGAATAACAATAGAAGTTAATTTAGTAAGGTCATGAAAAACAAAACTGTTTGTCCATAATATAATTGCCATTAATAAAGGTCCAGCACAATTAACAAACATAATTTCAAATAGTGGTGATACACTATTAAAACAATAAATAGATATTAACGTTGTAATTACTCCTGCATTAGTGTAATAACAAAAATCTAATAAAAAGAATTGCCATTTAGACATTCGATACACAAGAAATCGAGCTGTTACTAATGGAATTAATAACATTAAATATAAAATTGGTATTAATTCTGCTCTTCGTAACATAATATATTCTGTTAATAAAACTATACCAAATGACATTACAAATGTCACTTTATCCAATAATTTAATGTTTCTTCTTTTTTTCAATGAGTCATCAATAACTGGAATAGTTTCAATTTTAATTTTATTTGAATCAACAATCATTAGTTGTTCATTCTTCTTTTATTTTTTTAGTTCATCCTAAAAAAATTAAAATGGTCAATTTAAATATATTGTAACTTGAAATTAGAATGATTAAATATTAAGTGATTCATTATTAAATTAATAAAATCAAATAGTTTAAATAAATAAGAACAATGATGGTAAATCATCTTTATTATCTTTGTACCTTAATCAAATTATACTTCAAATAATTTTAAAATACTCAACAATAAATAAGATGGAATTTCTTGAATATGTAAACAAATAACACAACTAGGTTAAACCTATACGTATGTTAATTATATCAAGAATTAATCATAATATTAGACAATAACTTTTTATTAATATTAGAACAATAAATCATTAACTCTTTTAGAAAGGATAACAAATAATTAATGTATAACTCATAATTTAATCAAAAAAAAAATAATTAAGTAGTTTTATGTAACATTGTTTACATATTATTTACAATTATTATTTGTTTTTAAGCCTTTGTTGAATGTATTTTTATTAAAAAAAGCGTAATAAAAACATCATTCATAAAAAAAGACGATAAATTATTAAATTTTAACGTCTAAAAAAATAAAAAATTATTTATATTTTTTGTTTAAATGAAGATTTATTGAACATACTCTTTTTATATAATTTATTTTAATTAATTATTAATCTATTATTACAACCATAACAACAAATGTTACCAAAAAAGGAAAAACTTATAAAGAAATAATTCAATGCAAGATGATAGAACAACAATAACTGATGAATCTCAATTCGTTAATGTGCCCCAGACTTTGACTCATACAGAAACAGACAAAGATACTGTCTGCTTTAATAAGAAAATACTTTTAGTTGAAGAAAATCTAATTAGTTTATTAAGTGAAAAGGAAGAAGGAAAGAAAACTAAAAAAGAAGAATATGAAGAGGGTACAACAGAAAGTTTTAATTTTCAAAATAGTTCTGAAAAAATGGATGTGAGGAGTTACGAAAAAGTGGAAATACGAATGCTTCAAATTTCGAGAGTTGGTGATGAAACAAAAATAAATAAAACAAAAAAAGAAATACCGACCCATCGTCTTGAGGAAGATTTTCAAAAGTTTAATAAAAGTTTGATAAAAAGTGTCAAACAAGAAAAGGGGGTAAATTTAATACAAAATTCTGTTTATGAAATAGTTAAACAAATAGAAGAATGGACAGAAAGAAGAATAGGGAATATAATATTTGATTCAGATATTGATAATTGGAATTATAATACGTCAATATTTGATCAAAGAATAATAAACAAAGAACATATAATAATTATTATTGAAGATTCTGATGGAAATAAATTTGGAGGATATGTTAATTCTAAAATTAATGAAGTTAATAAAGATATAAGTGATCCAAAATCATTTTTATTTTTATTAGAACCAAAAGGAAGAATACAAAGAATGATGAAATTTGATATTAAACATCCACTGTATGCATTTACTTTTTGGAACCAAAAAGAGGCTTGGCTGTTTCAATTTGGAGTTGGGGATATTACTATTTGTAAAGAAAATAATAAAGGTTATTCATGTTGTCATCAACAATTTTCATTTGAATATAAAGGAATACCAAATGCAATTTGTGGAAAGCAATGTCCAGGCCGTTTCACACCAAAACGATTCGTTGTAATTGAAATGAAATGAAACGAAGTTGTTTTTGTTAAATTTATCTATATAACATTAATTAAAATAAGTGTATGTATCAACAAATCCATCTTCTGAAATAAACTATTAACACTACAACAAAATTTGAGAAATGGTATGTTTTATTATCACATAAAAATACACTACCAACCAGCCAAATTAAATGTTTTTATATTTCTTAGGTAGTAGTAAGGACTATTTTCTAATCTTTAAAAATATTATTTTATTATTTTATTTAAAGTATTTTTATTATTTATTTTTCAGTTTTATTAATTAATTACTTTGTGTTTCTATTACCTTTTTTTTTTCTTCTATTTATTTTATTGTATTGCTTACAATTGTCATTTGATTGTTATTCATTTAGTATTATTTTATTTTTCTATTTATTTTTATTTATTT